AAGCATCATGGAGTATTCCATTCAACTCTGAATCAGCCCTGACAAAAGTGCCACCCACCTGCCCTGCCTGCCGGGCATGGTGGACACTCCAGGAAAGAGCACCCTTCTTCCTGAGCTTCTGAGACACTGGGTCCTGCCCTGTCTTCAGCCAGCACCCAAACACCACCAGGGACTGCACACGGGGCTGTCTCCCACTCCACAGACTGTAACTTGGTTCTTTTGAGAACTCTAGAGACTAAGGAGATATAGGGGGACTAGAACACACAAGTGGTCCCCAGCTTTCTGTTGCTTGCCCCCCGTCCATATCTTTAAATCACTCTAATTCCTGTTATAACCCAGAAGCAAAATTTGATTTTGTTTCTTCCTGTCCCCAGGACATGATATCATATATCATATATATATATATATATATATATACTTGATCCTAGAGACTCAAGTCATCCATATCAACTTGAGCATGCTCACACTTTGGTATACTTCAGAATCAACTGCAGAGATGCTAAACCCATTTCTTAGGTCACCTAGCAATGCTATTTGAATCACCCTAGATTTTGTTGTCTAGTATGCTTACAAGTGATGTCAGTGGTACGGGTTTGTGACCCATTGCTTTTGTGTGGCCGTGAGCTGTCTGTTCATAGAAGACTTCCTTTGGGCCACAGAGTGACTGGGTAGAGACTTCATATATTCCAGCTCTATGATCTTCTCCATCCTTCCCAAGTGAACCCAAATCTACCTTTCCAGACTTATCTCCTTGCCCTCACACAGGCTTCTGGGTCTTTATATTCTTCTTATCGCCATTGTCATCGTCATTATCTTTAAATAGTTATATGAAGAAGTTTCAATTCAACATGTCACTTTTTGAGTACAATGCATCTCAATCAATGTCACACCTCAGCTATCATTTTCCCTTCATATCTCCCTGTCCTTACCCATAACCTCAAGTTACCTGGCTCCACTTTGATGTCCTTCACCACCTGATAACACGATGTTCTTCAGCTTCTCACACAAGCTTCTGAAGAGACTCTGGTCTGTTGGGTGAGCCTGTGTGGTTCTTTCCTTCTAGAATCTGTGTAAATGGTATTCATCCTGGAAGGCCTGGCCCCCTCAGAGCCTCGTTCAACTTCTTCCATAGCAGCACAGTCAGGTAGAAATAAAGCAACGCCAGCCACAGACATGGCCCCAGGTGTACTTGCTACTTTCCAACAGCTACTTTTAAAAAATTCAGAAGAAACAGATTTAACTTTGTGTGTGTGTGTGTGTGCGTGCGTGCGCACACGCGTGTGTGTGTGCACATGTGTATTCTTTCAACATGTCAATAATGAATTATTCACGATAATGTATTTCCTTTTTCCATTTTTCCCAATCTAGGTATATTGTGGTATACTCACAACATATTCCCATTCAGATCCACCACTCTCTAGTGTACTCTTGCCACAAACTTGGCTAGGGGCGGGCATCATCAAAGCTGATAGGGTAGACATCAGAGTGCCTATCTGCTCTGCTCTGAATGCCTTCAGCCCTTTTCCATTGCCTCTCCTAGAGCACACATAACCACTTCCTTGTTTTTATTGCTTATCTGTTTGCGGCTTGACTGTGGTTGTTTTTTGGTGTGTGTGTTTTGTTTTGTTTTGTTTTTCAATGTCCTCCTGAAGTTCCTAGCACTGGCCTGTGTGGAGGACATGATCAAAGTGCACAGGCTGATGGATGACCGTGAAAACACATGCACATGGGGACAGAGAAGTCCCCTGGGAGCATCTGACTTCAAGGGTCGCCTCCCATTCCATCACTGTGACGTTCTTTCCTCCAATCTGTGCACGGCTACTCAACCTCAGAGGGGAGAATAATTCAAGTTTTAGAACCCTCCCCCACCCCTTATAAGTTTCCTGTTTCACTTTACTCTTCAACTCAGTGCATAGCGGGGAAAAAAATCCCACCAGGAGGGCCCAGGAAACAGGAAAAATAGTTGTGCTGTTGGTTTCATGTTTGGAGAAGAACAGGGTTTCACTATCTCCGTGGCACTTGGCGTGAAAGTGGCCTTTGTCACTAGAGACACTGCTCCCATTCAGGGGCCCTTTTCCCAGCTGCTGAGAGCCGGGCTGTGTTTTGACAGACGGGCCGAATGCAATGCAGACAGTTGTTTTAATTTCCAGCCAGATGCACACATCACTCACAGGGAGCCCGAAATCCAAGAAAAGGAGCCGGGCACCGGTCTGCTGCTCTCAGGCTTTGCAGGGTGGGCTGGAGGGGGCCAGCGGAAGTCCACCAGGCTCTAGGGCCTGAGAGTCCAAGTCCTCAGGCTCAGGCTTGGCACCCTAGGAGGCTGACAGTAGTTACCTGTGAGAAAGACCCTTCTGTGAGCATTGCAGGTCATGAGCAAGGTTAGAGGGGTTGCTCTTCAAGGCCCTGTGAAGTCAGTTGGCTGCGCTCTTGGCTGGGTGTTCTCTTTCAACTGTCGATCTGTCAGGAATCACAAATAGAATAGTCTCAGGAAGGAGTTAGGTAAACTGTGGGAAACAGAACCCTGGAATATCAGCATTGGAAGGGACTATGTCAGCCTTCCTCAAAGCATGGACGGACATCCATTTCACAGCCTCCAAGACAAGTGTCACATGACGGCATAGGCATCCTAGGGATTGGATGGGTGTTTGGGAAGCAAGTTGATTATGGGATTGCCAAGTCCTGACTTTGTTATGCTGAGCTTCTTGAAACTTTTAAAACTATTAGTCTTATTGCAACCACATCATAGCCCCTCCGATGTTGGCAAAGAGCCTTCACAGCCACCTGCAGACTCCCTGCTCCATCAGCTAGCTGTACCCTAAGTACCTCATCTAGACCCCTACTTCATCCTGCCTCCCATTTGGTCAGGACCTCGGGCTGAATACTATCCCAGTAAGGCCAGCTGCAGGGACTTGAGATTGGAATTCTCCAATATGGTGGCTTCGCTCCATCCTGACACTAAATATCTGAGTTGCCCATGATCAAATGAGTTCCTTTAGAACTTGAGTCAGTCAGATCATACTACACTTACAGCTGACTCAAACCCTCAAGTGTGCTCTGCTTGAAGTATTCTAAACCAAGTTATCCCCAACCTACATTTGCTGTCTCCAAGCTGCAAGCTTCCATACCTATTTTTCCAGTGCTTCATAATTTTATTAGTGAAGGACGGCTGTAGATGTGTAAGGCTGGTCATCTCATCCATTTATAGAAAAGCCTCATAACATGGAATGTTGTGTTACAGTGTACTAAGGATGGGTGAGTAAGGTGCCCAATAGAGAAAAGGCTTGTCTCTCTCTCTCTGCTTTGTCCAGTGTGCACCCTATGTTCAAGTTAGACTAATCTTGTCTGTGATTATTTCTGCCCATTATAATCCTTCAACTTGGAAGTCCTTCCAGGTCTCTACATCTGGTACATTCTTCTCCTTTAGGACTGACCTTTATTCCTCGGTCCCTTCTTCCATACAGCTTGTCCTAGATGCTCCTCTCTGAGCTCCCAAGACCCCTGCAGTGCTTACACCAATCCCATGCCACAACACTGAGCAACTCTGTGATATCTCACATCCCGGGTCCTGAGGGGGGCAGAATCCCCCTATATGCTATAGATTCTCTATTGCTCAGCACCAGAGCCTCCACAGCGCTGGCATCTGATACATCTTTGCTGACTGTCCAGTGTTTAAGATCCATCCTAATCATCATTTGGTCACTGGTGGATCCCGCCTATATTCCTGGCTACTCGGGAAGCTGAGATCTGAGGATCTCAATTCAAAACAAGTCTAGGCAGACAGATTCATGAGCCTCTTATCTCCAATTAACCAGCAAAGAGCCAGAAGTCCAGGTGTGGCTCAAATGGTAAAGTGCCAGCAGCCTTGAGCACAAAAAGCTAAGCAAGAATATGAGGCCCTGAGTTCGTGCTCTGCCCCAGGACCAACATACATATACAGAAATGGATCCATCCTGAACGTCTGGAGAGGATGCTGTGAACATGTCCCCATCACACCTTAGTCCCTCTGCCCCAGGCAGAGGGCCATATTGCTGGACCACAGTTTACATTTTCTCCAGAGCTCACACTCCAGTCGAAGAGAGACCTCTAGGCTCTAGCAAACGAGAACTCATTTCCAGCCCAGCAAATGTGTGTTGCAGCCTGCCAGCCTTTGCCTCAGCCAGTGACAGACACCTAAGATGTATCTAATAGAGAATTTTGATTCTTCTGACTCCCCTATTTCCTGACCTTTATTGCTGCACCTGCTGGGTAGATGGGGGATAGTGATATCCCAACAGGTCCCTGAGGGCTCTACCAGAAAGCCAGGAGGAGATTTCAAGAACTGCACTCTCTTGGAGAGGGGAGCAGATAAAGGGCTTGATCTGCAAATTCTCACCTTCCAGGCGAGACAGCATCAGACAGGCAGCTCTCCTCTGTGGAGGTCCCCATTGAGCCAGACTTTTCAAAAGGATGGGAGATTTACTAGAGACACTGAATGCAGACATCGGAGAATGGGATAATTGGATCCAGGTGGTATATTTGGTTGGCTCTAAAGAGCCGGTGCCATACTATGAATATTATTGGATGGGAAAAGTTTCTCCTTCTCTTCTCACCCCCCCTCCCACGTTTTTTTTCAATGCAGGCTGTCTCAGCCTAAGCCCAGCTGAAAGCTCTTCAGAGATGAGTTTGTACCACTCAATAGCCTTTCAGCCGAGTTAACCATTTTCAGCACTTGCCTCTAGCTTGCCCCATTCTTGGGAGGATGTGAGCAGCAGGCAGCAATAGATCGGAGGATTTGCTTCGGACAAAGGCAAGAAGTATTGAAGGCTCAGAAACACATTTGTTGACCCTTCTTGACTTAAAACCAACATAAGGATAAAAACACTGAGACGACTGACCTGTCCTCAGAGTCTCCTCCGTGGGGGAGGTGACAGTTCAGAGTGCACAGAGAGGGGAGAATCCACACACACGTCTGAGAGTCGTCATGACATAACCCTTCCGTGCTCTTTTCCACTCTCCGCTAGGTCACCAGAGTCCCCGTGGAGTCATGTGAACAGTATACAACTTGTGGGGAATGCCTGAGTTCGGGGGACCCTCACTGTGGCTGGTGTGCCCTGCACAATATGTAAGTGTGGAATGTTCTAGAAGCAAGGCTGTTATGCTGGGAGCTTTTCTGGGGGTGGCGGGATAGGATAGCAGTTTGCAGAAAGAGAGGAGAATTGCCCAGCATGCAAGTGTTTGAAGGCCGGAAGAGGTGGGGGGCCATGGGACCCTTCTTTCTACATGGCCTCTCTCTTTCCTTCTCAGCTGTGTTGAAGTAGTATGGCTGTGTCTTCATGCCACTGGGGAAAGAAAAACTCATCAGAGTAGCTGTAGAATTTCTAAATTTCCCCTAAGACTGTCCTCATGTAGCCTTACCTAGAATACACAGCGAAGGGCATACTTAGGGTGTACTCTGGAGTCAGGTTTGCACTCAATCTAGGGGAAGTGTGACACTGGGTGGGTCCTCTGACAATTCCAGGCTCCCATCTATCCTTCGCTACATAGGGAAAAATGCCCAGTTCCCAGGTGAATTGTGAGGACTAAATAGAATAATAAGTGCTTTGGAAATAAGGAAGCTGGGAAGAGTCTACACAAATCAAAATAATTATTATGAACTCTGAGCCCTTGGGAGGCCCCTTCTGGTCTCATTATTTCATGATTTCAAGAAACCCATCTCACTCCCATTGGCCTGGTATCCCTATTCAGATACCTTCCCAGCCATTGAATACCAGCTGAATAGAAATGCAAAGATCACACTTAAACTTCCTAATTTGAAGAGCCCCCAGAGAGGGAGAAGGGGTGAAAACCAAAAGGCGGGAGGCTGGCTAGGAATTCTGTTGCCCAATGGAGTTGGAAACTCCATGGCTCCGTGCCAGCCAGCAAACCATCTCCATGAAATGTGCTGGCTTTGGGGTGGAGGCAGAGGCAGAGGGCCAGAGTTCAGGGTCCTGCACAATAGCTCTTGGCTTCCAGCCTCTGCAGCAGGTGTTGGGAAGCCTCTGGAGGGAGGGAGGAAGAGAGGGAGCTAGGCGCCTCACAGATGCAAAATCCGGACTGGATTTGAGCCCACAAATAGACTGTTCCCTGCGTGGGTGTTGAAGGTAAGATTCCCAGAAAGTTTTACAGAAATACTGTCAGCAAAACCCAGACAATACGTTGCCATGTATGTCAGCTGGGTAGTAAAGATGTCCGGGTCACCCATCTGTACCCCAGGAATAAGCCCAGAAAGTCAACCTGGCTCCCTTCAGTGAGACTGACCTACCAGCTCTGTGGTGGGGAGAATTTCTTTCTCTGAGGAACCTGACATCCACTCCCAGCACCCCACTCTCACTGTTCGATGCCCCCGTCCAGCTGTGGCTCTTACATCCTCCTCTCCCTGCTCTGTCTCCCAGTGCCACTGCCCGTGGTACTTCTTACTCCTCACACACACAGCAAAATGATAAATCAGGGAGGATCATTTATTTAATAACAAGAACATCTGCTTCCCCGTCTTGTACTAGTACCCATGGCCAATCAATAATGCCAAGTCTCCCAGCGGCCCCGGGGCCCCTCCCTTATCTTCCTGATCTGTGGTTTCTAGCATGACTAAGCCCAGATTACTTCTGTCCTCTGAACTCCTTACTTGTCATCAGAAACTCTTCTAGACTTACCCAGGCACACCTTTCCCACTGCTCCATCTGCTAAGAGCACATGGAGCTAAGAGTTTTGCTGTCTCTGCTCAAAGCGGGTATCTACCTAGTCATCCTCATCTTCACCTAGACCTTCCTGTACTCCTCACGCAACCACTATCACCAGCCTGCGCTGGCAATGAGGAGGTGAGCAACCCCAGATCCCAGCCTCCCCCCCGCCCCCCGCCTTCTCATTCCCAGCCAGCCTCCTCAATGGAGACAAGAGGACAGAGGGAGATTACTAAAGAGTCACCGGGTCCTGCGGGATTGAAACCTTCCTGTCTCTTCTGTATGCTTTGCTCTTGCAAGTGTGTTATTGTCTCCCAGGCTATTTATCTCTGTTAGGGCTGTTGCCATAAATAGTATGATAAAAAAAAAAAGAGCCATTTCAGGGAGTCAATGAGATAAAGGCTCCAGTCAAGAGCTCACTTTAGAGCTATCTTAAGGATTCACTTAAACCTCAATAATTCTTTTCTTTGACAGCATTCATATTTAGATCCATTATGTGCCTGCACAAAAAGCAGGGGGAGGAGCCCACGGGGGAGCTTGAGTGGGAATCGCGGCTTGATTATGGAGTCTGGTAGTGTCCCTGTGGCTGTTTGGTTTAGAGCTGTACCAGCCCCGTGGCATGTTCCTGTAGGACTGGACAGGTGGTAACTCCAAGCCATGAGGACATCACCTGGGCATCATTGTACCCACCATCCACCATGGGCAGAGGAGGCTGGAGCATGGAGAGAGAAAAAGCCACATAAGCCTTCTGACAGAAGCAACCCTGACCACAGCTCCTTGTCTGTCTTCAGGACCCAAATACTTAATACATACCATGTGACAGGTAGAATAGCTCAATGGCTAAAACATGGCCAGTAATTCACATTAATCTGCCATTAATCTGCCAACAAGGTCCAAGTTGGGTGGCCTCACACAGCTAAGACCCTCTCGTGTTCGCTAACTTCTTCAGGAAGAGAATAACGTTAATCATCGTCATGATTAATACTAGAATTGCCAGGGCTACCATACATGTACCTAGTACTCTACGCACTAACCTCAATCCTTACAGTGGCCTTTTGAAGTGAAGTTTTATTATCATCCTCTCCCCTTTACAGAGGAGGGAACTGAGAACAGAGAGATTAAGTACCTTGCCCAGTGGGACAAGGCTAGAAGGAAATAGGCCTGGGGTTAAGACCTAGCACACTTGTTCCAGAGCTTGTATTCTTAGCCACTTGCTGTACTGCTTTTCAAGCCCTCTCAGCTTTACTGACGTGCAGTCCCCTGGAGTGCGCTCTTTATGTCTAAACTGCTTCCCTTCTGATGGGAATCATTGCTCCTTCCTTAGACTGTCCCTAGCTGCATGCAGTGCAGATCATTTGGGGGTTCCCAATCATTGTGGAGAAGGGTAAAAAAAATCACCATGAGAAGATAAACCAGACCTCAGGGCAACAAACACCTCTTAGCAGGCCTGACCTCTTGTGAATCTGTATCCATGACAGGTGCTCCCGCAGAGACAAATGCCAAAGGGCCTGGGAACCAAATCGATTTGCTGCCAGCATCAGCCAATGCCTGAGCGTCGCGGTGCAACCTGGCAGTATCTCGGTGTCAGAGCACAGCCAGTTGGTAAGTAGGGAGGAGCATAGAATTTACACCTGTGCAGGTAGGCTCCCTGAATGTTTGCACGGTATGTGTACATTGATCAGACTTTTAACGTTCCGAGGAAACTTTCTAGAAAACTTAGGACAACTCCTGCTGTAGGGTATAGTCATTTCCCACACTGCTTGTAAATTTAGTACCTATTGATCTGTTTGTAAATCTAAATTTTGCATTGAGTAACAAACCTCTACAACACAGTGTTACCCAATACCAAATAACACATTCTGTAGTCTATGCCATATTTACAATCTTCGATTTGCTGAGCTCTCTTGAGAAATCTGCAAGTTACTTTTGTGTGTTTAGGGGTGTGTGTATGTTTAGGGGTGTGTGTGTGTTTAGGGGTGTGTGTGTGTGTGTGTGTGTGTATAAAGAGGGATAATCCAAAGTCAATGTATTACAGAAAATAAAGTAGCCTTTAACCACCTGCCAAAGAACAAACCAAAATATTTCATGTCCTCAGGCCCTGTTATTTCATTCTGAAGGTTTTATGAGCATTCACGAATGTTAATTAGTTAGTGATTGGGGTTTGTACAACCCCACCAAGAAGTGTGGGCGCCAAAGCAGGAAAGGTTGAATCTAAGTCTCTCAGGCCCATGGAAAGGAACCTAGGACCGAAACTCAGGGACAAACAAATGCATGGGAAGCTGAGTGACATGGCGAAGAGAAAACCACTGCCACATGCTGATAGGAAGACAAAAGGAGCCCAACCTTCTTGTGGTCCTCCACTTGGAGGCCACAGGGATATTTTCACCATGAGCCCTTGGGCACAACTCAGGGCCAAAGGGAGCCAGTCACATTTCTTACTGGTTCAAATCCCACCTAGACACTGCATTGTGGCCATAGCATATGAGCTCATCGAAAAGTGCCTTGAATTCAGAGCAGCATTTTGCTACTAGGTATTTTCTCAGTTAACAAAATTTTCTGAATATCTATTATATTTTTACCCATTAAAAAGGAAAGTCTTCCGAACTGGTGAGGCTGAAATGTCATTGGACATCAGTCATTAGTGGTCACTTTTCTGATCCTGTGAGCTTTTTGTGAACCACACTCCCCCTCCATCCCAATTCCAGGATTGCCACTGGAAAGTAGAGATCCCAGAAAGAACAGAGAAGCGGAGACTCCAGAAAACCCACAGCCTAAGTGTCCAGCAAGTAAAGGATAGAATTCATGTCTTCCACCAGTCTAGCAAGCTCCTGGCCAAGCTCCAGTCTGGCGAAGCTCACTCTCCCCGGACCCCAAGCTTAGACCTGTTCATGAAGACGTCAGCTCATGACTCACTTTCAAGTGCCTATGGTGCCTTGTAATTAATTTCCATGTCAAAAAAAAAAATGTGAGCAAGGTCTGAGATCGATTTTGGTACCTTTTCCTCTAAAGGCCCTAACCCCTAGAACTCTTTGGTACTGGACAAAATTGAAACATTAATAAGAATATGAATAAATACCTTGACCTTGTGCACCACTGACAAATTTATGACTCTGCTCAGTGACAGAGTTGGAAGATCACCTAGACCAATGTCCTTTTTTAATTGATGAGGTCAGGGGAAATTAGTGCGCAATAGGTCCTGGCTGGAAGCCTGGCCTAATGCCTGTATCTCCTGAGCGATTTGCTTCTCCCACAGCTCAGCCTGGTTGTGAGCGATGCTCCTGATTTGTCTGCGGGCATCTCTTGTGCCTTTGGGAACCTGACAGAAGTAGAGGGAAAAGTATCTGGAAGCCAGGTCCTCTGTGTGTCACCTGGGCCCAGAGACGTCCCTACCATCCCTCTGGACCAAGGTAAGAAATGTCCACTGGGGAAAGCACATGCTAGGGGCAGCTCTGCTGTCATGAAGACAAGGTTCACAAATAGCAGCTCTAGAAGTTGCTTGACCAAGCCTTCAGATGTGAGATGCTAATGTTGGCCTGTACAACTTGCTTGAGTTTGACAGCACACGGTCCTGCCCCAAAGTGGAATTCAGGAAGCAAAGAAAGACTGGCTCCCATATCAGTTAAAGTAGCTTAAGGGTGCGTTGCCCAAACACTGCCTGTTCCTTCTAATAACAGAAGTGGCTCTACTCCATGGTTTGGGAAGGGCTCTTTCCATAGAGGCAGGAGCTTAAGGGGTTCTAGCCTAGTGCTTCAGGCATTGCTTTAGTAACTGAATATTGGAAGGGCTCCATGGAATCTGTTACTGCTTCACTGGGGCTGGGTCTAAGGAGCTGGCTGGTAATCCATCAAAGGGATTCTCTTGAAGCAAGAGGGAATGAGAGGACTCCATCTAACCAAGAGATCCCTGAATGGCTTAATGATTTGCTCTGTCTCAAGTTGCCCGTTTGGCCCCCAGGTTTTTTACTCCACTCCATTCCTTTTATTTTCCACAGACTGGTTTGGCCTAGAGCTGCAGCTGAGGTCCAAAGAAACAGGGAAGATATTTGTCAGTACTGAGTTCAAGTTTTATAACTGCAGTGCCCACCAACTGTAAGTACTTCTGGAGAAAAGCCTTGTCTGGGTCCAGATGTGGTCACAAGGCTTCTTCTCTCCCTTGGCTCTTACCTTGTAGATCTAACAACTGTGTAGAAAACCAAAAGGATTATACAGGCAGAATGAGAGGTCAAAAGTGGAGGAGAAATCTATACTGGCTGGTTCTGATCCTGTCTGGTGAAGAGAAACTGGACCACAGAAGCTGGGTACTCTGTACCCAGATGGGCGTCTGTAACAGGGCCATATCAGAGCCATAGGCTAAATAAAGCAAGGGTATTCAGTAAGGGGAGAGGTCAAACAACAGCTCTGTGCAGAGAGAGGCAGAATTGGAAATTACCTAAAGACCCATTCTCCCATTGCCTGGGCTTAGGACTGGCAGGAGATCTACTGAATAGCAGCACTCCACAGGTATTGAGTCTGTGGAGTCCAAGCTACAGACACAATAGGCTCAACAGCTTACAGCTAAGCCCTAAGGGGATCTTTAGCTATGAAAGGAGACAAGTAAGCCAGTCCTCCTTCTTTCTCCACCTCTGTGATCTTGATTTCCGTGATTAGAATAATCTAGTTCTACATTTCTGCTGTAGTCAAGAAAAGGGGATATTTCTGACTGAGTCCCTCTGGGACAACTCAATGGAATATTCTGAGAATGATAGAACAAGAGGTTTAAAAAAATGGCTGGTAGTAACCAGAGCAGGGCAGACAGAGACTGTAGCTGAGTTGGACAAAAGTGCCCACTAGCCACTGCATTCCAACTCTGCTTTGGGAAATGCAAGCTTCTTTGAAAAAGAGCCTTTCAACTTCCTTCACAAACTAACGTGGTAGTAACAGAATCCATTGTTATCTCCATGGTAATCCAGTGTGATGTAACCATTTTCAATGATGGATTGCTATGGCGACGAAGATGTTGTCACAGGCAGCAAGTTTTAGTGGGGGGGGGAGGGGTGGGGAACAGGTCTCCTTGACAGCAAAGATTCCATCTTATTGCTAAGTAGTGTCGATCTTACCCTTCTCTGCTCCTGTCATTCATAGTTAAAAGTCACAGCATCAAGTCCAGTTACCTCTTTATTATGGCAAACTGAGGTCCAAAGAATATAAGTGTTACAAAGGCAGTTACACACACACACACACACACACACACACACACACACACACAGAGGTACCCTCCAGTGAAAGAACCAGGTTTAGAGCCTCAAATGATGGTGTTGTCCTTTGATTCCTGACTGTTATCATTGTTTGAACCATGAGATATCCAAAGCTAACCAATTAGAGAATATATGCACTAACATTGGGCTGATCTCAGAAACTACATAACTTACATAACTTTGGACATAATTGGGCCTGGGAAAGATGGACTAATGCACCAAATCCACCTTTGCTTTCTTGGCAATGACCCCTGGAATGAGCTCCAGACTCCCAGAGGTAATTGGAACCCCACCAGGTGGCGCCAGACTGCAAACCTGGTCTTGTATCAGTCTATTCAGGAAACACTAGAGTAGGGGTACAAAAGACACACCTTCTTCCCTTCAAAAACAATTTCTTTTTCATTACACTGGTCTGATCACAGACAAGGAGCCAAAATAATACACACTGCCTCCGAGGGGGAGCGGGGTTAAAAAAAAAAAACAAAAAGAAAGAAATGCTCACCCTGGCAAGAAAGGTGTGAGCCATAGACATGGCTCCATGCCCGGGCTACCAGAGTCGTGGGACCAAATTTCTATTTAATACTGTTAACTCCCCCAAGCCCCAAACAGATGCTATGAACTGATTGCTAACACTCCAATGTTATTCAAGAGGTTGAAATAACAGGTGATTTAAGTTCGTGAAAATAATACTCACATTTACCATACTTTTCAAAACCATTTCTAGACATTATCTTATTTGACACCAAACAGCCCCGTGGAGTAGACAGGAATGCTTTATTCCAGACAGATGAAGAAACTTTGATTCGGAGAGTGAAGTGACTTCTTCATCCTGACCCAATGTCAGCAGCAGCAGAAGCAAGACTAGAATCAGATCTGCCCAATTTCTGCCTCTGTGCTCTCTGCGCTACTCTGTCTTCTGAGCAGTAATGGGCTGGTAGCTGTTTAATTACCAGTGATAAGAAGGAAGGAACGTGATTCTTGACCCATTTCTGTGGTTGAAATACTCCCACCGTGGCCAGTTCCAATCTCAAGGAGAGTTGTCTGGAAAGAAAACCCAACTCCAGCATACTATTGCTTTTTAAGTGACATTATTCCCACCCTGATCCCAATTTATCACCACTTTTCTGATCCCATGAATGTGTTGGAGAGAGAATCCACGGTTCTCAAGGCTAGGCGATGCTCCAACCATCTACCCTCCACAAGACCGAGCCTAGCAAAACAGACTTCCAGACTTGATCGTGACACAGTTGCCTAGTCTTCCCTCTTACTGTCCCTTCTATACAGGTGCCTGTCCTGTGTCAACAGCGCCTTCCGCTGCCATTGGTGCAAGTATCGCAATCTCTGCACCCACGACCCTACCACCTGCTCCTTCCAAGAGGGCCGCATCAACATTTCCGAGGTAAGAAAGTACACCATGGCATAGAGCAACTCTGAGGCCCCTTCCTCTTCAAATGGTCAGTTCAATGACTTGATCACTGCTCTCGTGCTGTTTGTCCTGATCATCTAAGAACCTGTGCCTACAAAAAAGCTTAGAGGTAACTGAGGTTGAGACTAAAAGCTTAGAGGAACCATACCCAACCACACAGACGCTGTGGTTAGAAGAGCTCAGGGAGTGGCCTCCAGTCTTTGAGTCTATATCCCTTTGTTTGGCTACTGTAGACTCAGTCTCATTTAACTGACCCTTCAGTCAACCACTCTTTCATGATGATTTCTCTTCTAGCTCTAAAATTCAGGAAGTCTTTCACTCTGATGTGTCACTGGGTGGGTGGTCTTGTAGAAAGAAAGAGAAAGCCAGAGAAACTCAGCTAGTGGGAAGGACCAGGCATTGCTGAATGTCCAGTTTGATTATCTACTCCCAGCCCCGTTGCTAAAGCCTGTTCTGCCTTTGTGAAATGTTCCACTGTTTATCCATTCAATGAATATTCCATTCAATGGATTATTCATTGATGTGGACTTTTTTTTTTCATGTTCCTGGTATGCCTCCGTTCAGTGAAGCCTGCCATGTCAGTTTCTGTCTCCCGGGTCTGGTGCTTTTCATGCATGGCTAGTGGGGTTTGAACAACTCAAGAGACCAAATGTATTCATACAAATGCACATATGCATATGTATCCATTTCCCTTTTGTTCTATCTTTTGGAAAACTTGCAAATACTAATAAATATTACTACAGGGTTTCATCCATAACTACTGGCTTTTCTTCATACATCTCCCTCTTGCAATAGACTTAAAGCTACTTGAAGGCAAGAATCATGTCGTAGCTTACATCCTTAGTACCTTTTCAGTGAATGTCTGTAAACTACATGTTTGAAAAAAAATGGATGGGCTGTAATCTCTGCACCTGAGTGCTGAAGATGAGAAATAGTGTCTGTTCGTCTGAGATTTCAAAGAATAGACCTCTTGTGTCTTCTAACCTTGATGGCCATAGAAATGGTTTCCATGGCTGTAGACCTTGACAGGGTTGGCCTTGGGTTCTTGTGAAACAACGTGTATCATCCTATGCCATCAGAAAAGTAGAACTTGTCTGTCTTGAGTTGGAGGGACGTTGAGATGGTACTCATAGGTGGCGTTTAAGGCAGACTCCTGCCTCCCCCCAGGTACCTCTGAACGGTGGAACCAGGCACCTAACATCCTAGGAATGGTCCACAGCGATTTTCCTCTAACAAAAGACTTTTTCTTTGCAGCTAACTTGCAAAGCACTACACTGGTCTTAGTGAACACTAGAAATTAACTCCAGTCTTTGAATTCTGCAAAGGTACAAAACCAGTCTTCTCACTGAGAAAAGTGCTCCTGGGCTGAAGGTGTAGGTTCACCCAGTCTGGGAGTCAATTAGAAGACTGGCTAAATGGGAAAGCAGACAACAAGAGGGCCTGGCCAGAGTGAAGGCTGGGCAGTAGAAGATTGTGTACAATGGTCTCAGAAATTGACCTTCATGTTGTCCATTTGAAACTGCTAAATTCCTTAATCCAAAACATAGAGGAGGACCTAAACCCAGAGACGTAGTCCCCCAGTTCATATGGGGACTAGAAGCTGCTGCCCTCACTTTGTGCTGGGACCACCCCACAGGCAGAAAGAAACCCAACGCCAAGCCTGAGCATGACCTGCAGCTGGATCGAGGGCAAGCAGAGTGTCACAAGGAGCAAGACAAATAAACTCTGCTGGGGTGTGCACAGAGGCCCGAGGGCTGGGCCCCGAAAGACTAATTGAAAGCAGGCCCAGCCTCCTGCCTTTAGGAGCCACCGCAATTCAGCTTTTTCTTGGCCACCTAGGAGAGATTCGGACATTCCAGAGAGCAGAGAGCAGGCCGAATAGTAGCTGTTGGCTCCCTGATACTCAGGATTAAATTAATACCAAAAGAGCCCCAGGGGACAAAGCTGGAGACTTCTCATGACCTTTCAGTCTCATTTTCTATCCTTGCTGGTCATTAGGGTTGGAGAACCGGGGTTCCCCCTGTCTCCCTCACTTCCCCCTCTCCCTGAGTGGGATTGGATGACTGCCATGTTGGTCATGTGCACATGACCCTCTTACCACCTAGGTACTAAGTTTCTGGGCAGCTGAGAGGGAAACCCAGACTCCATCTAGCACTTGACTTTGTTCAGGAGAGGAAATAGGGTGCCAGTTTCCAACAAGGTTGACTACAGTAGCTTTCAGCCACCCTCAGTCACACATCCTTTCCCAGCAAATAGCTCCCAGGCCAGGTTCTTTTCTTTCCAACATTCTGCTTTTGGGGGAAGGGGGACGGGGGTGGAGGAAACCTCGTTCCTGAAAACTCTAGAAATAGCAAAAATGCATGTTCCTAGCTTGAGTAAGGTTTTCCTCCCTCTCTCAGGAGTCCTGTCTGATTTCTCCACGCTGTTTTAGGAACTGGAAAGCTTTAGCTGTCTCTTTGGAGCTCCTTAAATATCTTTTTCACACTTCCAGTAAGACCTTCTCCCGACTTTCTATTTTAAAAAAAAAATTATGACTAACTACTTCCTAGAATCAATAGGTAACTGGTTAGCTCCACTGATGACTATAGCAATATTTGTGTATCACACACTTGTAAGTTTTTCACCTGTGGCAGATTCTCCATGTGCTGCTCACCCAGGAAGACACCCTCAGCATTGCCTGCAAACTTGTTAGAAACTCAAATCCTTGGGTCCCATCCCAGATGAGCCCGAAGATTGAGAACCACTGACATATGGCATGTCAGTTGATTCTCAAAACAGCCTCGCAGATTCACATAATTCATATCTGACATCTGTAGTCACCAAGATGCCAACAGTTGCTTTATGTGTTTGGGTTTTTTTTTTTGTTTTGTTTTTTGGGTTGGTTTTTTTTTGGTGGAGAGGGGTACTTACCCAAGGCTATAAAGAACTCAGGCATCAAAAAAAAAAAAAAGCTGATGAGTTTGCTTTTGACAGAAAAATCAGAGTCTGTGAATATGGGAAAATGGCAGTCCCAAATGGCGTGGCCACATTTGGCAGGTGTGACTTCCATCTGGCCCCTTGCTGTTGGTCGTGAGGGCTCAGGGTGTGGCTGGAACAGCACAGACCTATCTCCACAGATGGAGAGACTTCCCATGGAAAATGGGTCAGCAGTGTCATTTCCAGAGAAAAACGACAGCAGCATATAGGTGCATCTGCCCACATCCTTCCCAGGACTGCTTGCCGATTCTACACCGAGGCCTGACAACCAAGAACAGCTGTGCCACACAGAATGCAGTTCAGAAATTAGCATATTAGTCGTTGATGTCCACTGAGGGCTTATTATACATGCCTCTCTCTCTTTCTCTCCCCCCTCATATGCAGCAATAATACTAACTATATTTGTTAATCCAGCTTGTTACCTTCTATACCACATTTTTACATCCCCCTGCCAGACTATCTTCTACACAGCCTAACTTTTCATCATTGGTACCATTTTATAGATGAGGAAACTGAATTCCAATGGACCCATCTCTCGAGCATTTTTAAAGTCGTGAGCCAGACCTCTCTACCACTTAGAGCACAGCAGCTCTATGCCGGGGCCCCTGAACTTCTGGCTCCCTGGATGGGATCAGGCTGTGACACGGTGTTAGCGAATGAGTGGGCACACCAGTATGTACAGCTTTCAGCTATTAAAGCTCATCTCTCTCCATAGCTAAACCAGGCCTAGCGAGATGTAGATACATAAATATCTTCTTTACACCCTGTCCCGGGGGAAAGATAGAACCAAATAAATCCGATTAGCTTCCCAGGATGCTGGCTGCTTTCTCTCTTTGAAGTCCAGTGGGTGAAGATAATGCCATTTCCACATGGGAGAGTCGTTTCTGAGGACTAACAGGTCCCCAGCAAAGGATGTAGCAGAGCAGAGCCAACCTAAGGAGGCAACGCAGCCCCAGGATGCACCGGGGTCTCTTCCCTCCTCCTCTTCTCCAACTCTGGGGGCATTCTCAAACAAGACATTTGTTCATCTTGATTTAAACCAAAAAGCCTACGAAGAAGGCAGCCTGGCTTAAGTGAGCCTGCAGACAGAGGAGGGAGAAGACAACTTAAAGGTGTCATTCAGAAAGTCGTGGATAGTTCTGAGGCTGTTACTAGCAGTCATAAAATTATTCTGCAAGCCTGATCCCAGTAGATCACACGTGGAACCCTAGCTGCTCAGGAGGCTGAGATGTGAGGATCAAGGTCCGAAGCCAGCTCAGGGCAGGAAAAGTCTTATCTCCAATTAACCACCTCAAACCCAGAAGTAGAAATGTGACTCAGGGGGTGGAGGGCCCCAAATGGACAGCATCTACTTAGGACACAACCATTTCTTTCCTGTGCCTTAGAGAAAGGAAAAAAAATCCTGTTCTGCCTTACCTGAGCTCAATGGCCAAATAAACAAAGTCCAAGGCATTCTATGGGTTACTGTGGCAATCTTGGAGCCTACATAGGCATTTGAGAAAATACTTCTCATTGTCTCTAAATCAAGTTGCCACACTGTAGCACCCTATAGGAAACTTTTCTAAAATCCTCTAATTCCATTTTTAAAAAAGAAAGAAAGAAGCAGGTACTCATGCTAGTCCTAGCTGCTTAGGAGGTTAAGATCTGTTTTATCACAGTTCAGAGTCAACCACATCAAGAAAGTCCATGAGACTCATCTCCAATTAACTACCAAAAAGCTGGAAGCAGAGCTGTGGCTCAAGTGGTAAAGTGCCAGCCTTGAGCAAAGAAGCTAAGGGACAGTATTCGGGCCCTGAGTTTAAGCTCCAGTACCAGCACACATGCAAAACAAAATCTCATAAGAGTACTCATAAAATCTATTCAGGCATACTGCACTTAGACTGGGCAGAAAGTGTGTGTGTGTGTGTGTGTGTGTGTGTGTGTGTGTGTGTACACATGTACATGTGTGTGAATGTGTGTTGTGTATATAGTCATCCTTCCATATCCATAATGGCTTGGTTCCAAAGCCCTTAAAAACAGTAAAATCTTCCAGATGCTCAAATCTCTTATATAAAATGAGAGCAATATTTGCATAGAACCTACACACATCCTCTCATATATTATTTTTGTCTTTTCTTTTTTTTGGTACTGGGGATCGAACCCAGGACATTGCACTTGCAAGTCAAGTGCTTTGCCCCTGGGCTACACTTCAGCCCCTTCTCATATATTTTAAATCACCTCTGAATCACCCATAATACCTAATTCGATGTAAATGCTATTTAAATTGTTGTTATGCTTTCTTGTTTAGGGAATAATGGGGATAATGACACGGGGAAAAGTCAGTACATGTTCGGCACAAATATAATCATTTTATTATTTTCTTCAAATAATTTTGGTCCGTGGTTGGTTGAATCCATCATGGATGCATAACCCATGGAAACAGAGGGCTAATTGTCCCTTTTTGTCAGCAAAGCTAAAAATATTCTACCATCTTGTTTACTAACCTGAGACATCATATTTCTAAAAGCACATCTTTAGGATCCTGCTACTGAAATTTGAATTTATTCTCTGAGCTCATTAAGGGATGAGAAACAACAGCTCATCATTTATAATACATTGACTGGCTCAGATTCTGAAAATTTCTCTCTCTCTCTCTCTCTCTCTCTCTCACACACACACACACACACACATACACACACACACATACACACTATTATACCACAGCAAATTTAAATTCTAATCAATTAGATTCAATATTGATTTTTTTAAAAAAACCACTAACAGAAAGTAGCGTCTCCTTTTCCATGCAATGCCTGGGTTTCTCTAAAGTGGTGTTCAGGTTGTTTTTTGTTTTGGGGTTTTTTTTTTTCCTTGGCTATAAATATATGAAAGACTCTGTCAAGAGTGCCCGCGGGGAATGAAAGTAAAAGTGCAGTAAAGAGCAAGTTTATGAGTTGGCAGCTTGAGTGACTGGCTCCTGAACACGGCCCATCTGTTCTGGGGCTGCCTTAGGACCCTGTCCCTCCTCATGGAAGTATCTGCCTGGAGTCCTCACGTGCATCTTGCTGACTGACAGGCAAGGGGCGGCTCCCAGTGATCCTAGAGTCCATCCTGGCCTTCCTAGACAGATTTCCACAGGCCATTTCCCCTGGCTCCAGCTCTTTGTAACTTCTCAGGATTCCTAAATAGATGAGATCATGTAGTTCAAGCTGCCGTGACCATCTTCAGCCCCAGGGTTGGGATTTAAACTCCTTCCAAGTCACGCGATGATTCCAAAAGGCACAGCTTCACCTCATCGTTCACAAATCTATCAAGCTGGAGCTAAAAAGAAATTGGAAGATCCTGTTATTGCTTTATTCTTTATACTGAATCCTCCCACAAACAGTGACCAAATGCCCACTATACCTCAGACACTGAGATGAAGACCAGCTATGTAGGGGGTGGATCTGATGCTTCCTAATCTTCAAGACGTTCACAGCTCGATAAAGAAAACAAGTCCACAAGAAGTGGGCAGTTCTATGGGCTAAATCACATACAAAGGCCCAGAGATAGATTCAAGAAGAGAGTGGCATTTAGAACCCTATGTTCAGTATGGAAAGAATCACAGGGTTTAAAAAAAAAAACCAGGCAGTGACTCTCCAGATACCAGCAAAGGCCTCTATTTCACAAGGCTCCTAACAGAGATTTCTCCTGGCAATCAAGAGGCATCTTTCCTCAACAGAGACCATCCACACCTTGCAGGAAGCCTACCTGTCTCAGCGCTCAGGCAGCAAATGCCAATAGCACCCTCTCTAGGCCTTGTAGCAACAGGAGACCAAAGCGTCCCTCCAGGAACCAATGTCAAGAAAAACAGGATCAAGAAACTGAAGCCACCTGCAAGAACTCCTTACTGACCCTGGAGAAGGGAAGTGATTTCACATAGAGATGACTTCCACAGCCTCACTGCCAGGGGCTACCTGGCTCCGATCTTCCTGGAGGGAAAGCAGAAAGAGGGGCCTGGAGCCCTGTTGGGGGTAGTATTGGATCTCTGGTAGAGAAGCAGCATCCAAGACAGAACTGAGAAAGAAATCAATTTCTCTTTCTCACTTTCCTCTCTCCGGATCCTTCCCACGGCCCCTCCTTACCATGACTTTCTTGTTTGGGTTTTGTTTTCCAAAGCAACATGGCACTCACGCAGGGCCTGGTAATGGAATGAGATAAAAAGCCAGAGCAAGTATTTAGACCATTGCTGGGAGGGCTTGCTCCCCCTTGCTGGAAAGCCCAGCTCAGCTGGAGCTGAGAAGCTGGAGCTGCTGATAACGGCATGCCCCGGGCCTCGGACAGTGCAAGGACCAGAGAGCCGGAGCTGGGAACCCGAGGGAACCAGAGGCGGGGGTGCTGGAGTCAGGGGCAGGGACACGCGGCAACTCTTTCATCTGCTGTCTCGGGAGATAAAATCCACAGCGTGCCATACTGGTGCTTGAAAATTAATTCCTAAATTGTAATACATACACGCTAGGCACAGGACAGTCTGTGGAATGAGGTGGGCAGGAGCTAAGAGGGACTTCACTTTCCCTGCTGACTCGGTGTGTGACCCTAAAATGAGGTAAAGCCTTTTCTTGTGGCTGGCTCTCCTGGGTATGCGAGGGTCTGGCCTGGCGTCCAGCTCCTGCCCCTGCCCTGGCTCAAGTAAGTAAGAAGCTGTGAGCTAAGTCCCGATGGACCCTCTCGGCTTCCTCCCCCCAGGACTGTCCCCAGCTGGTGCCCACGGAGGAGATCCTGATTCCAGTCGGAGAGGTGAAGCCCATCACCCTGAAGGCTCGAAACCTGCCTCAGCCCCAGTCTGGCCAACGTGGCTACGAGTGCGTGCTCAACATCCAGGGGGCCATCCATCGGGTCCCTGCCCTGCGCTTCAACAGCTCTAGCGTCCAGTGCCAGAACAGCTCGGTAAGAGACCTCATGCCAGGGTCCTGCTGGAACTCAGTTTGCTTATACACCTCTGGCCAAACCTCAACCTGACCTGCCAGCTTCCAGAACCTTCCAGGGCCATGGGCTGACCAACCTCACACACCTGAGGGACAAAGTGTATGTGTACCCTGGGCCCTGAGCCAGGAGAGAACCCATTAAGGAGATGAATTCTGAGAGCAGCTCAACAGAAGATTAGTTCTTGGGGTGCTGTCTAAAGTTTAAAAATCATGTCTTTACCTTTAGAGAAACTTTAGTGCAAGTAAGACAATTCCACCCCACACCATGTCCCCCATAAAAGACATGAAGAAACTGCAGGTCTATCCTTACAGAGAGGAAAGGGGAGACGAGGGAAGGGGCGATGAGGTAGGAGGGGAGAAGAAAGAAGGAGGCAGGAGCAGCAAGGGTTAAGGCACTCTCTGAATGGCGGACAGAAAGCACAGAGGTGTTTAATTATAATTCTAGCCCAGAGAGGATCTTTTTATCTGCCAACGACCTGTCTCTGACTGTGGGGGGTCAGCTCGGAGATGGGGGAAACGTGACAAAGGTGTTGAGGGAAGCTAATTCGCCTGGGAGAGATAAAGAGAATCTGGGCCTCTTATCAGGGAGCTGTCAGATTCTGGGGTCACAGGCGCTTGATAGAATTTGTAATCGGTGGAAGGCCGCCAAGCGCCAGGGGAAGGTGGGTTGAGGGGGGGGGGAAATGGAGCAGAAGAAAGGAGGAAGGCCTCAATACAGCTGGGGGCAAGCGTGCAGCCAGTGGGCCACCCTCCCGAGCTAAGTGAGCAGGATCAGGACCTGGGCTGGGGGAATCTCCTAACCAGAGGTGTGGTAGCAGCTGGCCCAACTGGAAGGGCTTCTTCTACAGTGAGTGGAAGCTTACAGTTCCTCTGTGGGATCCACAGGAGAGAAAGTCCAGTGGGTCCCAGCCGGACTTTCACGGTGGGGGGAGGGTGGGAGAGATAAGGAAGACAGTAGTGACATCTTGTAGGAGACAGGAAAGCAACCAAGATGCAGACAAGTGTATTCAGAGACAGGCAAACTGAAGATGCCCATAGGACAGCAATAGAGGAGACGTTTGGAGAAGTAAAAGCTTGGATCCGATCATGGAAAGTACTGGTGTAGGTGGATCTTGGTAGCGTTAGTGGTTCTGGAGTCAGGCACAGGGTATCTTCTTCATGCAGTAGCGTGAGGGCCTGTTCTACACCCAGGCTCCCTGGGACAGACAGCCCCCCTACCCACGGGCTGCTCATCTCTCCCTGCAGTACCAGTATGACGGCATGGATATCAGCAACCTGGCTGTGGATTTCGCTGTGGTGTGGAATGGCAATTTCATCATTGACAACCCCCAGGACCTGAAAGGTAAGCAGTTACTTCCGGGTAGAGGTTTGATCTTTTCATGACCCCAGAAAAGACTGGGGCTGGAGCGATCAGAGCCGGCCAGCCGCTGTGCCTTGAATAATACACTCCCTGTGTCAGCGGAACTCTTCACAGGTTCCTAAAGCAACATTTGGAGCCATCAAAGGAGTCCTGTCGGGAGCTCTGTTTTATTACACCCAGAGCATCCGCCGAGCGGCTGCCTGCTCATCCACGCTATTCTTTGGCTCCTGGTGACTTTGAAGTGTCTGTGGAACCTGACCTAGGAGAACAGCAGGCAGGAACGTCCTGCCAGTTTCTCTGGAAATGGAGATATTGTTTTCATGCAGGCTGTCATTCGCCTGTCCTTGGCTTGGTCATGGTCACTGCACAAAGAAAGCCTTTTAGGCTGTGCTCCTGGTCTGGGGGCAGGAGGGGGGGTGGGAGGGGCCAGCTCAACAGCTCAGGCTCACATCTGGATCAGCTGGAGCTCAGGAAAGGGAGCAGGGCTTGGGCAGGAAGGGGAACTCACTCGGGCAACCTTTATTCACTAGCATATAAACACAGGTTGATTTTGTCCGGTGTGTCAGACCCAGATTCCACCCTACCCTCAAGGGTGATCCAAACAGACTGATTACTTCTAAATTGTTTTCTTAATCGACACAACTCAGAAAAGTACACTGTCATTATTGCCACCTTATAGACCAGGACGCTAAGACCCCCAAGAGCTTAAGAAATGGGCCACAAGTCAGATAGCAAGCCAGGATTTGAACAAAGATCAAAGCATGGGGCTGATATCAGGTACCAGTGGCCATGCTTGTAATCCTAGCTACTTAGGGAGCAGAGATCTGAAGATTGAGGTTCAAAGCCAGCTTGGGCAGAAAAGCCCATGAGTCTCTTAAATCTAATCAACCAGGAAAAAAAAAAAAAAAGCCAGAAGTTGAGATGCATTTCAAGTGGTAGTGCATCTGACTTGAGCAAAAAAGCCAAACGAGCCCAAGGCCATGAGTTCAAGCCCAAGTACAAGCATGAAAAACAAAATAATAAAATAAGATAAAAATTGCAGAGCTGGTAAGTAAGTACAACCACATTATGGGATTTGAACTCCCTCCCACAGAATCCACCCCAAGCCTTCCCCATCCATGAGCCCATATATCCTATGAGCTATATATCCCAGTAAGTAGAGTTAGTGGCAGCCTCTGCTTCTACCTATGGAGCGCCTCTCCAGGCACCAAAATGGGGAGCAAGGTCACAGCAGGAGCCTGGCAAGTGTTTTGGTGTCTCCGGAGCTGCCCACTCTTGTCTTAGACCCTGCCATGAAAACTAAGCTGCTTGAACTAGAAAAGAGGAGCTTGAGCCAGGGAGATTTTCATTTCCTCCTTCTTCCTCCTTCTCAAAGGAGATTTTTTTCCCTCATCACTAGGAGATAGGAGACACAGGGCTTAGATCCCCGAGGTTGCCTTTGCACATGGAGCCTGGGAACAAACAGCCACATCCCAAGACTCTCTGCACGTCTCCTGTGCTCCTTGCTGCTCAGGCCGTGTGACCTTGTCTTCCCACCCATACCCAGAGCCTATGCATGGGGTGAGCATCACTTAATGCACCCACAGCTTTCAAAGGGCTCATAGCCAGGTGCCAGTGGCTCACACCTGTAATCCTAGCTACTCAGAAGGCTGAGATCTGAGGATCACGGTTCAAAGCCAGCCCAGGCAAAAAAAAAAAAAAAGTCTCCAATTAGCCAGCAAAAAGCCAGAAGTGGAGTTGTGACTCAAGAGATAAAGAAAAAGTCTTGACAAAAAAAAAAGCTAAATTAAAGCATGATGCCCTAAGTTCAAGCCTAGTACTGGCAAAAAAATAAAAAAGATTCAGGTTCCCAAACCCAACAAACCACAGCTACGTGCACTCAGTCCTTTTCTTCATCCAGCGGCCTGACCTGTGCAGTGCAGAGAAGGATGCTCACCGCCCAGTCCTCAGGGTGAGCGCGTGGCTAGGGACCATGTAGTCCATATTTATAAAAGCTCCTTGAGTACCTCTTCACTTTAAGGATCTCATTTCCTGCCCTCTAACTTCAGAAGCCATAGACAAGAGGTTGTTTAAATATAGTCTATGCATCTGGGGCTGAGGGTTGCTAGACAGGCTAGAGCAATAGGAAGAAAGCTTATAGAAGGATAAAGTCTATGCCTCCCCTGGGCATGTAACTGACCTCCAGCAGAGGTACACTGCCCAGTCCTGGAAGCTTAGGTCAATGTGACCAGATGAGTTAAGAACTATCTTTGACTGCATTCATTCCCCCAATATCCATGGTGGGTTGATATCCAAGACCACTGAGACACCAAAAACCAAGGATGCTCAAGTTTCTTATATGAAATAAGGTAGTGCTAAGCCAGGCACTGGTGGCTTACACCTGTAATCCTAGCTACTCAGGAGGCTGAGATATGAGGATCATGGTTTGAAGCCAGGCCAGGCAAGAAAGTCCATGAGATTATCTCCAATTGACCACCAAAAAGTCAGAAGTGGCACCATGGCTCAAGTAACAGAGCACTAGCCTTAAGCACAAAAGCTCAGGGGCAGTGCCCAGGTCCTGAGTTCATGCTCCAGGACCAGCTCACACACACACATACACAAAGACCAGCACACATACTCTTGCATATTTCAAATCATCTCTAGATTGCTGATGATGTGTAATACACTGCAAATGCTACATGGATAGTTATAATTTATTGTTCAAGCAGTAATGATGAGGAGTAAAAGTCTATGTGAGTGGAGTGCAGATTCTTTTTTTTTTTTTTCAAAAATGCTTTGGAAGCAGAATCCATGAATATGGAGAGCCTGCTGTGTTCAACCTCTGGAAAATTCTTCAGGAACTGGGTTCAAAACCCTGCCAGGCAAAAAACTAGACTAGATTCACACACCACAATTCTATCAGCTAGCTGCCAGGGCATTGTAAGTCATTCAGAGAAAAAGCATATGTGACCTGTTAAGGAACCAGTTCATCCTCTCTGGGGACAGGACTGAGTCACCCTCTCTCCGTACCTGCAGGGCCTCCTCTTGGCCAGACACCAGTCTGTCTTTAAGTCCAAGCTGACTCCTCTCTCAGATCCATGCTCTTTGCATTGTTTCAAAGCGCTTGCTCCTTCCTTGGGCTCTGGCACCTAGCAGCACCGAGAGCTGGAGCATGAGGACTTCTGTTTGGAACGCTAATCCTAATAAGCTGGGAGAGTCATTACATCTCTCTTTGAGCTTCCCTTTTACCTGTAATGAGGAACTAAACCCCTTGCCTCGTGAAAGGAGGGCCATCTGTGAGCACCTGAGAGACAGCAGCCTAAGAATACAAGCTGAGTTCAAAGAAAAGATAATAAGCATGTACAGAGCATCAGATATGTCACGGTCCCTGTGCTGAGCACTTACTATACAAATATCTCACTCAAACCTCCAAAAAAAAAATGATTATCACTGTGTTGGAGATAGATCAACAAGGTTAAATACTTTGTCACCTTGCTAGGAAGTCTGGAAGCCACAGCTCAAGCCCTGATCTAACTCAACAACTTAGAAAGCGCTAAGAATGAGCTTCCATGTATGATTCATTTCTGCCAGTTATTTTTGCAATGCTGAGAATCAGGGGTGCTATCTATGATGGGGGATCTCCAAGAAGAGGGCAGGCCTAGGGTGAGCAGCCAACCGTGACCCGCCCTCCTCTCTTTGCAGTGCACCTCTACAAGTGTGCGGCCCAGCGGGAGAGCTGCGGCCTCTGTCTCAAGGCTGACCGCAAGTTCGAGTGTGGCTGGTGCAGTGGCGAGCGCAGATGCACCCTCCACCAGCACTGTACCAGCCCCTCCAGCCCCTGGCTTGACTGGTCCAGTCACAACGTCAAGTGTTCCAACCCCCAAATCACAGAGGTGAGTTCCAAAACTATCCTAGAGTTAGAAAGCAGATGACGGGGGTTATGGGAGAGATGGGGAAGCTGGGGCTTAGGGGGGAATGAATGCTGGGAGTTAGTGCATCTGGTATAGGAGGTGTGGGAGGCCTCTCATTTGTGTCTTGATACCTGTGTCCAGACGTAAAGTACAGCTTATGTGTGTTCTGGTGGCCATGCGTGAATGTGTGTGCCTGTCTGCCTGGTACAGGCACACAACAAGCAAGGCAAAGCCAGCCCGGTCACCCAGCCAGGTGGACTGAAACAGGTTGGGAGAAGAGATTGTTTCCATGGTGAGTAGACATGTAGAAAGCAAGGTTTAGCTCTTCCCAGCAGAAAGGTGACTTGGGGGAGTTGTAATTAGTTGAAAAGTTGCAAAGTTGAAAACAGATGGGATAAAGACAGACACAGTTAGCCACCCTCCCGTTTTTTCCCAGGGCTTAGTCTTGATCTCAATTTGTTTTGTGCCTTTTAATAGGAAGAAATAGGTGATTAATTACACCAGGTGGGGGGAGGAAATGATGTTTCCAAAATTGCCAAGGGAGGATGAATAGATGATGTGGCTGAAAAATGCAGCTGTGTGGGGTTTGAATGGCCTACGAGAGGAATCGTGGTACTTAACTTGGGTGGCTTTGTGTGCGCATCACTCTTCAGGGCTTCCCTATTCAACAACTGTCACTCGCGCTTTGAAACTAATTGCACACTGCTTGCTGACTAGAAACAAAGGCTTGGGCAGGTAGTGCAGTGGTCTGCAGGCATAAGCAAGCACAGAGAGGCTCCTTGTCTGAGTTGATGTACGCTCTCTTTCTACCTGCCCCAGGTCAGCCAGAGCAAGTAGCTAGCTGGCTTCTTTCCTATGTCACAGAACATGGGGAAATTCTGGAGTACCTCTGCAGTCCTGTCAAACAAAAAAAAAAAAACCTCAGATTAATTTAAGAGAAACAAAAAACCTCAAGATCAAATAGATAGTGTTTATCTTTAGACAGATTATTTGAACAGGGAGCAAATATTTATTTTGTGTGCTCCGCTTGGTTACATTTAATCCTTACAACATGGGAGGTGAAGTGTTCTCACCTCCATTGTACAGATGACGAGAATGAAATGCAGGGAAATTGACATGCACAAGTTCAAGGGCTAAGTGGCAGAGCCAGCATTTGAGGTCAGATTTAATTATGAATTCTTCTTATCAAGTTCTCTATGATTTGCTCAAGTAACACAAAGCAGAAGGAAAAAAGTGCTCTCCCTTCCTTAATGTCTAGCCCTTTCCCAGCATGTATAGACAAGATAAACACACCTATCCACATGGTTGTATATCCCCAGGAGAAGGCCGAGCTCTGAGAGATAACATGGTGCATCTCAATCCTCCTGCATGAGTAGAAGGGGTTGCGAGGATGTAGACCCTGCCCCTCAGAGAGTGGGTTGCTTCAGTCCCGTTTTATTCTCAGATGTGCTCAGTGATGCCTGCTAATTTCCCCCTGTGTCTTTATTCCACCAGAAGCCAATGCCTCCTGGGGCTGATGAGGCGGCCCAGGCTCTGCGTTTGGGCAGCTAGCTTCCAGAGCTGCTCAGGGCTCCGTGCCTTCTCCCCAGTCCTAGTGATTTCTGTAACTGCTGGCCTGAGAACTTGCACCATTCTCTAATGCTTCTGTGGCTGCAATTGACAGTCCCTGACAGCACCTGTGGTGCGGGGAGCTTAAATTAGGCAGGAACTGGAGTCCACCAGCACCTCCCTCCCCACCATGGGAACTGCACCAGGCAGTGTCTTTCTGCTCCCTGCCTGACTGGAGCCTCAGCCCAGCCCCAAGGCAAGCTGCTCACTGGGAAACTTCTTCCTGGGCTGCCCCTGCTCACTGACCGGGGACTGCCAGGCTGCTCTGTTCACAGAGAACACCCAAATTACAGGAGGCTAATTAACCCCCCCAGGTAATTAGGCTGTAATTGATTTTCCCAGTGAACATATCAGCAAGGGGTCACAGGCCTCAAGCCTCCTGTTGGTGATTTTTATGTGGAGGCTATTGAGAAAGGAAAGAGCATCTTTGAGAAGAGATCAGTGCTCGCTGTGTCCCAACATGTCAGGGACAGGACATGTGGGAGGGGGCACACAGGCCTGGAAGGATCTATCTACCATCATCTGTCACATTGTCTTTCTGTTTATGTCCCCTTCCCTCACCTAACCCTTATTTCTCTGTCAAAATCATCTTCTGTTTACCTTTTTGTCTTTGAAACAATTTCAAACTTGTATTTAAAAAAGGTACCGAAATAGTACAAAGAACTTTCCTATTCTCTTCACCTAGCTTTTTCAGAATTAGTATCTTATATAACCACACTACAATTACCAAATAATATCGATACAATGAAAAAAATCTAATATCCATACCTTATTAGCATTTTTTTTTCCTGGTTGTTCCTAGGGTATCCATTTCTCTGGTCCAGAAGCCAATCTAGAATCGAATCCAAGATTAAATCAGAATCTAATCCAGGATCCCTGTGACAGTCTATAACTGATCTCCTTAGTTCTTTAAACCACTCTTTCTTTTTCTGCCTGTTGAAAAGTATAGGGCTGTTATTTTGTATTGTCTCTCTCAATTTAGATATGTCTGATCCTTCCTCATGATTAAATTTGAGCTACATATGTTTGGTAAGAAATACTAAAAGAAAAATTAGGGTGTGTATCAAAAGGGTATAGAAACCAAACTGAAAGGGATCCAAATGGCCAAACCTAGAGCCACCTGAGCAAGATACTAATGATAATTTTGGTCTTAATCAATCGACTAAGATCAGAATCTGTGATCTTTGCTGGTTATTTGATGCTTGCTTTCATTCATTGGCTGACACTCTACAAACTGGCGCTCTATACCTCCAACCCCTGATCTTTACTGGTAAAAAGAAACAAATGTATAAATAATTAGAGAAGGCTCTTTCTCAAACTAGAATCCCAACTAATAAAAGTAGAAAGAATGATGGAAATAGAAATATCTATGATTTCCAAAGTAATTATTTCAAGTAAAAATGGCCAATGGATGCTAAAATTAGTGGATAGAAATATGATGAGAAAAAGAATACTTACATCTTAATCTTTCTTCCCATAAGCTACTTATTAGAAGCTTCACAGTGAACAAGTAGGCCCTACCTTAACCAAGTTATTATTACCAGTGATAGAGAGAGTCAATTTCATATGCTTCCCTTTAGAATATCCCCAGGGAGGGGACAGCCTCATTTCTTTTTTTTTTTTTTTTGTCGGTCGTGGGGCTTGAACTCTGGGCCTGGGCGCTGTCTCTCAGCTCTTCAGCTCAAGGCGAGTGCTCTACCACTTGAGCTACAGCGCCACTTCCGGTTTTCTGGTGGTTTATTGGAGATAGGAGTCTCACGGTCTCTCCTGCCCGGGCTGGCTTTGAACCGCGATCCTCAGATCTCAGCCTCCTGAGTAGCTAGGATTACAGGCGTGAGCCACCAGCACCCGGCAACAGCCTCATTTCTATTTTTGGCCAATGCATAATTTCTGTTTGTTTTTTTTATTTTAAAAAAGCAAGTTTACTTTGTGTGTGTGTGTGTGTGTGTGTGTGTGTGTGTGTGTGTGTGTGTGTGTGTGTGTGTGTGTGTGTGTGTGTGTGTGTGTGTGTGTGTATCAGTACTAGGGCTTGAACTCAGGGTCTCACACCCTCGGCCTTTTTGCTCAAGACTGATAGTCTACTACTACCACTTCTGATGTTTTCTGGTTAATCAGTCTCTCCAATTTGTCTGCCCAAGCTGGCTTCAGATTTCAAGCCTCAGATTTCCACTTCCTGGCCACAAGCATGAGCCACCTGTACCCTGCCCAAACCATTTTCTTTACTGTCTTGTTAATGCCTTTGCACTGGCATAGAACTTTTATTTGAACTTCATAATCACTGGAATTCTACGGAGTTGATACTTGTTTATGCATGCTCCCTTGCCTTCAAAATGTGTATCCTCCCAGTGCTACTTGTAAGCAGAAATCACTGACAATAAAAATCTGATGGCCTATGATGGCTACCAGAGACAGCTGAATTTCTAATTCTAGACCTAAATGGAAGCCAGAGTTGGTATTGTCCTGCCTAGGAGCCAAGAAGCAAATGAGATGATCTCAGAGAAGTTCTGCTGCAGGGAAAGGAATGGGCTCACATGCATTTAGATGAACAGCTGTGTTCTTCCTTAACCCCTCCTTACCCCCCACTGTCTCCATGGCAACGAAGCCCACCCCTAGAGACCCATCCTTTATGGCAGCTTCATGTAGGACAAGTTGTACAGCCTATTGAATTTTCTGGTTTGCATAAACCCCAGGTTAGGACCCCCTCAGGACTTACCGTCTGCTTCTTAGCCAGCTCATGGTGTGATAATGACGTTGTCTCAGGGGGGAGGGATGGAGAGTATCCCACGCTGCTCAGATTTCCAACTGTCATCCGGGCATCTGTGCACGTGTCACCTGTTCAACACCAGGAATAGGAGATGTGCAAAGGACTGGAAAGCCCAGGAGATGCCTGGCCTTAGAGCCTGCTGGGACTTCAACAGAGAGTCTGTGAGGAGCCCATCTTGGAAAGGAAGACCGAGAGTAAAATATGTCCCAAGAAGCCATGGATAGGCTGGATCCAGACTGGGAAAGCAAGACTGAATATGTTCTCAAGGAAAGAAATTTCAAGAAGGTAAAGGGACTCAGCAGTGAATATGAAAAAGATCTTCACTTAACTGGGCTCTAATGAATGTTAGTTCTTAGAATGACCATAAAAAAGCACCACAAACAAGGTACTTTACAAAACAAAAAAAAATTTTTTCTCAAGGATTTGGAGGCTGGACATCAAAGAACAATGTGTGGACAGGGCGCCACGTTTCTCTCCTAGTTCCCAGGGTTTGGCTTGCGGTGGCATCACCTGACCTCTGATTTCATGTCAGATGACATTTTCCCTATTTGTTTGCCTCATGTATGCGTGTGTGTGTGTGTGTGTGTGTGTGTGTGTGTGTGTGTGTGTG